GAGATAACTAATATTCGTTTTTTATAAATCACATTTATCAAAAACGACCAAACATCGGCAATTGTCCGCTGATTCCTTACCATCGTTTTATCCTATAGTGATACTCTATTTCTTTTTTAACCTGAAGTTAGTATTTCCAAACATCTATGAAATTATCTGGTTCAATATTTTTGTTTAATGCCTAAAATTTCCTCATTAGGGTTATTTTAATCATAATTTGGTACATATTGATAAAACATTATGTTTTTTATGAATATAAAATTTTTAATGTATATATTGTATTGTACAGAACGTATTGTCGTAATAATTTTCTTATATCACTCTAATTTTCATCACCTAAAGATGGCTGGAAAGAGCTATTCACCCGCTTTGGCCAGAGGCTCAAAAGTAGCCGTTTTTCAGCGCGCCCTAGCGCCTAAACCGTCTTTCAGAAATTTAAAGTTAATGTATGCATTTTTATTTTTTTATTTTTTTGCATTTTGAAAGAACTATTGCATCAATAAACAGATAGATGTGAAGATAGAAGCAAAAAACTGAAAACAGACGACATTTTTAGAGATTTTTTCAATTTTTTTTCTCTGACGTCGACCTTTCTTGAGGTGCCAAACATCAAATTGGGGTTCATCACCCTCAAGAACTTATAGAACCATTGAGAAAAAAAGAACTTCCGGAATTTTTTCCTGGGTCAGATACTTTTTGACTGGACTATACCCTCAATCAAGCATGTCAAGATCGCGGGCAATGTCACTCGCTTATACGTATGAGTTCCCTGGCCCTGCGTCCAGAGCACCTGCCGCAAAGCTTAAAATACAAATTGCCCCCTGGCGTCACTGGACTCCAGGTCAGTCTTTCGGAGAATTCAATAGACTGTTATTGCAATTGAAGCAATATTAATTCATATTTCCTCTTCTAAAGAAAAGGAATGAATCTATTAAAAAGTGGTTTATGAGGCAATTGAAATGGTCTTGATTCTGTCATTGCGTGTACTTACGAATGCAATAATTGTATTAATTTCCTACGTTCAGGACACGAACAAAAATTTTTGTCTGTTAAAAATCTGTCCCCTCTTAACCGTGGCATAATAAATCTAAGAGGTTTCCTAGAGGAAATATACTACATAGTCTTGGTTATTTATTTATCGGTCGCATGCGTTTTAAACCCGTGTTACCATACAACCTTACAGGTTTGTTAAGTGCAATTTTACCAGGGGTCTTTAGCCAGAGGTTTTAACATTCTTAGCAATGTAAGTAAACAACCATCAATTCATCGCAAGTCATTATTTATTAAAAAAGTTGGCGATGTTTTGTACAAGTCAGATTCAAACAATTCACAATAAAAGTAACTCATATTAGTTTTGGGGATACTTATTGTTAATTGTAATATTAATAGTGCAATCAAAAGATGTGAATTAGGTAAATATTAACCTCATTTTCCTGACAGTCCACCAAATGAAACTCGTCTAAGGTAATCATATTTTCTGACGATCTGAAAGTGTCGCCTTTGGAAGTCGGCTCCACTATGCTCCGCTTCGATTGTTAACTTTTGGCTTCTGTAGTGAGAACTCTCATAACATTTCTAGGTATGTTGATAGCTATAACATTAGTACTATATACAACAAATGACCAACTTATTTGATACCAGAAAACTGAAACAGACAAAGAATGTCTTTGCAATTTATTCCTGCTTCTGGGCAAAACATTATTCAGGCTGAATTTAAAAAGAAAATAAACATGTAGTAAAGTAATAAAGTATATAAACATAATTCAAAACTTATTTGTTTGATAGGAAACATCCAAAAAACATGTTTTCGAATGAAGCAACCATTCGTAGGGCTATTTCGAGCGCGTTTTGTGCTTACCTTCCTCGCTACAGCTTGCGCATGTACACCCCTTTTCGAATTTGTAGGGGAAATAGAGCGGCGTCAGGGGAAGTTGCCCGTGCTCTCATGAGTGCAACGCTGCCCAGGCGGGGAAGCAGACCACATTTGCAAGCACATCTTGGCATGCCTACCCTAAATGGCTACTTAAAAGAAATGAATCTATTAAAACAAGCTTTATCAGTCAATTGAAATGATATTGATTTCGATTACTTACGAATGCAATAATTGGATGAATTTTCTACGTTCAGGTCACAAACGAACAAATATTTTTGTCTGTTGCACGATGTCCATGTAGTAAGGGATTGTTTCCGCTTCGCGCCAGGCGGAGCTGCTGCAGGCGCTGTACCACCGGCTGGAGGGCGAGCCGTTCGCGGGCGTGTTCCAGTCGCGACGGCCGGCGCTGCTGCTGCGCTCCCCGGCGCTCGTGAAGGCGTTCCTCGTGAAGGACTTCGCGCACTTCGCGCACCGCGACATGAAGCTGGACGAGCGCCGCGACCCGCTCACCGCCAACCTCTTCACGCTGGGCGGGCCGCGCTGGCGCGCCCTGCGCGCCCGCCTCACGCCCACCTTCACCTCCGGCAAGATGAAGATGATGTTCGCGCTCATGGAGGAGTGCGCCGCCAACCTGGTGAGGCAACGGAAATACCGTTCAACGAGTGTACCGGATAACCGGTTTGAGATCCAAATAGGGGTACGGAGGCCATGCTTCTCATCTTTGGAATTTTACGAATTTATTCCAAATTATTACCAAATGTAGACCTTATCACATCCAAAGCATTATTTCCATTCTCGTACAAATTTTTAAAATTTCGTACTAACAATTAATTTTAAAAAATGGGGAACTAAACTGAAAATGAAATATTTTCTGTAACCGCCACTTCAAGTAATAATAATTTTATGCTACTATTGTAATAAAAATACTTCTATTCATGTTTGAATTGTCTAATAGACTAATATTTTATTTTTATCTCCTTTTTATTCTAATTACTCTTATTGATCGCAATATTGCCCGAAATGGAGAGTGAAGAGCAAAGTGGAGAGTGTGGCATTGCGCGACACCCGATACGTAGCACGTGATAATTGTAACGGTGATATAGTACATATTCAATTCTCTTTGGGAGTTCACGCGATATCAAATCACAATTGCTCTGGTTACATTGTGCTGGGTTAAAGTTTTGTTGAACGATCTGCATGAAGGGGCGATCTGCTGTCTAGTTTAAAATAGTTGTTTATTTGGGTTTCGTATGAAATAGCAGATGTCGATTTTGTCACTTACATACAGTATTTCACTTTTCACTGCATTCACGTTTTGTATTCGCCAGTTCAACGAAAAATGTCATATTAACCAGAAGTCACTGCGATGAGCCTAAGTGAGAGTCGAATGTGGTGGAAGTCTCTTTAAGGAGATGTGAGAATCATTCAGAAATGAAGTATATTTTCCACATTTTTTGTGTTTTAAATGTAATTTCAAAATTGAGCTCTTAAAAATGTGTTTTCTTCAGAAGCAGCATGTTTGCGAAACACACATGCAATAACGTATTACTATTTTACTTTTATAATTTAGTCATTACGTCACTGGTCCGGGGAAAGTGTTAAATCTCATAAAAGTACGAGTTATTTTCCAGAAGTGCATTTCAAAACTTAGAAAAAGTTATCAACAAAAAACTAGTGGTGCAAATACAGCACATATTTTGTCGTCCTTAGTAACGGTTAAGTAGTATTATCATACGACAATTTCTGCCCATATCCACGCATCTGTCAATTTTTTTTTAATTTTAATTTTGCCATTTGTGCAACAAACATTTGGCAACATTGCATAAATTAGTGCTTATTAGTAAACGAGAGGAGTAGAATCCTTTGACCGTACTCCACTAATATTATTACATTAATAATAAATAGGTACCATAATAAATATATAGAATAATCAATTTACAGTCGATATGCAATGTCTAAAATATGATGTAGTTTACGTCGTCTGGTGGTGTCACTTTTGTCTAGTAAGTTGATGCCAAACAATTGGGATGGTTATGTAGTCTTTGTAGGTATTTTGCATTGGTCTTGTTGATTTCTTCTTTTATTGGAATATGTAAGTCTTTGTATATAGTTGCGTTCGTTACGTACCATGGGGCATTTACAAATTTTCATAAGGCTGTTGATCGAAAATAATCGTAGTATTTCAATGTTAGTATTTTTAGAGCTGTTCTCCAAAGTTGTATGCCATATTCCAGACTGGTTTTAATATTGCTTTGTACACATTTATTTTGCGATGCTTTAAGATGATTTTCTTTCCAAAAATCAGTTTAACCTTATAAGTTTTAGGTATCATTATTTTCTTGTATTCTTAATATGGTTTTTCCATGTGAGTCTTCTGTCCAGAGTAAGTCCAAGGTATTTTGCAGAGACGTTATGAGGAACAGGTTGCGATCCGATTTTTATAGGTGGGCATGTTTCGTCCATCAGAGACGAGATGTTCTGCTGGCTCTTCGGGTCGTACTAAGACGGCTGTATCGTCCTCGTAGGTTGCTGTCAATGTGTTTGCAGATGTTAGGATGTCGGCGGTATATAGTGAGTTTAGGAAAGGTGTTCAAATGTTTTTGTTATTAATGGTGAGATGGCTTAAGATGAAACAGGCAATATCGCATTAGGTTATTACAAAAAAAGTGCCACCATATACAATTTAATTGCTAATATTTACGCAAAAAATTAATTGCTCTTCAGACGTCATCAATGGTTAATTTTCGTAATTCAAAAAAACAATTAAATTGCTCTACATGATGGTATATTTCCTTTGTAGTAACCGATTGTGGTCATGTCATTTTACGTTTTAAGAGATAGATCACCATTAATCACTCTGAAGTTTGAAGATAAATTAAATTAATTTTCAAAATTAATTAGCGTTTAATTCGTTCTACGCGATGGCATACGCTTTGCGGTAGCCGAGTGAGGCAGTACTAGAATAATCTTAAGTCACCTCACGTGGCAAAAACTTGAAGAGCAATTAATTTATTTTTTGCGCAATTAATTAGCAATTAAATGTTGGCGTGTTTATTACGATGGTCGGTGATAAGGGTGGCGCCGGCGCAAGCGAGGCGCCCAAGCGCAGCTGTGCCGTCCGTCGCAGGTGCAGAGCCTGGGGGCGCGGGCGGCGCGGGCGGAGCAGGTGGAGATGAAGGAGCCGCTGGCGCAGTACGCCACCGACGTCATCGGCAACTGCGCCTTCGGCCTGCAGATCAACTCCCTGAGCGACCCCGACTGCGAGTTCCGGCGCATGGGCAAGAAGATGTTCGAGCCCACGCTCGCCAGCGCCCTGCGCCGCTTCACGCTCATCTTCCTGCCCACGCTCGCCAAGGTGCGTCCGACGCTGCCGCCACGCTCTCACTTCTAAATGGATGGGGGCCGTACTCCTATATGTAGTCGTAGATTATTTACCATTAGATGGATGTACATCGCGCATGTACCTTCGGTTCTATTCCCGGACAACCCTACAGTTAGGTGTAGTTTGATTCGCAGACAAACTTCAGCATAAAATACCGAATGTTTCCGTAAAACTCTCCAATCAGTATATTCGAATCTGTCATTAATTTTTCAATTCGTGTAGGCTTGAAACGTCATAATTGCATCCCGTACAAGGAAACTAACATATTAAAATCTAAAAAAAAATATCATAAACGAGCTTTCATGATGTTGGACATATCTGCGAGCGTACGAGTATATGGTACATTTGAACATGACGCTCCATTCTTCTCTATGACCAGTAATTAGGGTCATTTCCACTCAAATGCAAGAATAGGGGCCCGATTGCCCGCTTTGAGCCACAGCAGTGGCCCGCGAGACACGCGTTTTACTAGCGCGCCCGAGCGCCTTTCCTCTACCGTTTGGAATTAACTATTGTTTTTACGTTCAATACATGAACGACATATCTTTGTGCATAAATTGGTATCTCTTATACAATAAAGAGTATGCCCATTCGCATTTCAAACGTGCTAAATATCGACTTTGTGTAAATAGCGTAAACGGTTTATCCAAATTTTCGTGATTAGCATCTTACACATGAATTCCATGACGCATTTGCTGCCGGAATCCGGTTATAAATGCGACTACTATACAGAATACTCTCAAATCTTTGCATCATAATAGAGCGGCCTTGCTGATGAACACATTGCTTTCCACTAGATCCAAACGAGAAGCAGGTGACTCCCTGTCGCCAGGCCGGTTTAACATGGGGGCACATGCGGTACGTGCCATAGTATCCGTACTTACAGAGCCCTCACACTGATTTTTAAAATATTTAAGGCCTGGGAACTAGGTAAGTATGTAGAGGATAGCAATTGCTTATTTAATTCCTATTTTTCTGTACTTTGAAACAGCAACATAATGATGTTAACGTAATAATTTAATACTCGGAATTGATTTTCTTAACATTTTGAAAAAAAAATAACAGATTTTACTGCAATTTATTAAAATTTTATATTTATATTTCACATAGTCAACTATTTAATTTTGTACAAATCTGAAAAAAATCATTTGGATTAAATAAACTGGCTGAAACTTAGTCGCATAAAAGTAAGAGATGTAAAAATGTTACACTAGGTAACTACTACGCCCCAGTCAAAAAAAGTCAATATTCGAACTTTTAAAAAAATCGCCAACTATAACCTCATGCAAGGATATCCTTTCATCGTATATAACCTCACATTTATCGCTTGCACTAATGAAATGTCGACTGGTTTCATAAATAGATTGCAGCTGCCCCCCCCCCCCATCCAAAAAAAGAAGACGAAGTTAAACTGCAATTGTATTTTTGTTGGTACCAACTGTATTACATATTTAGAGCCTAGTACCTTTCATTTAAAGAAAAAATCACAAAATTTGTTTGAGTAGAAACCTCAATGTTTTTTTTTTCTAAATGAAAACCTTTAGTGTTTTAAATATTAAATAGATAAACCTTAAATGTATAATTAAATAGATATTATTTAGTAAAAGTAATTAAATACAACCTTCTATTATAATACGTATGGATAAAAGGTGTGCACGCGTGCGTTGTGCGAGCCAAGCTTGGGGCGTGGACGCAGGTGCTGAACGTGAGCCTCATCGGGGGCGACGTGACGCGCTTCTTCCGGGCGGCCGTGCGCGAGACGGTGGCGCTGCGCGAGCGGCACGGCGTGCTGCGCCACGACTTCCTGCACCTGCTCCTGCAGCTGCGCGCGCACGGCGCCGACGACGCCTTCGGTGAGCGCCTCCCCGCGCAGCAGCCGCGCAGCAGCCGCGCAGCTTCGGACCGCGCGCTGACCTCAATGGCCAGTGGCTGGTTGCGAAAAAAAAAAAAAAAAAAAAAAATCTCTCGGGGCTCAGTGGCGAAGTCGCTTGCCTTTCACCACTGAGGTTCCGGGTTCGATTCCCGTAAAACCTGATGTGACATTTGTTACGACAAAACCAGTTTGCCTGCTTCACGGTCCAACCACGGTGAAGCGTCCTAAACCTTGGCCCTATCCTTATTTCTTTCCAATTCTGGCCGCTGGATAGTGACGCAGGAGCGCGTAGTAGGAGGCGCGTAGGCGGAGATGCTACCTGGCGGTCCTCTTGACAACTGACTGCAACAAGACGTGACAGATTTGACATTGTAATATTAATGCTCCCGCTATGATAATTACTCCCGCGGTAGTATTAATGGAGGATTACTGTGAAAGCGCTTGACGGCTCCCTGAATTTTTGAGACGCGTTGTATCAACTACAGGCACAACAAATTATATAAAAGAATAAAATAATGGTCTGGTGGAGGATTTATTGATTCCAGGTGCGTCAACTACTACAAGTAGGCTTGCGGGGTTTTCCCCAACCAGGTTTCTCTCACCAGCGGGGTACAACCTCAGTCGGTACAAGCTTTCGTAAGCTCCCGACTGAACTCCCGACAAATGTAATAGTGTACTATAGGTAAAGGGTGGTAATATAGGGACATGTGTGGTAATATACTGTATGTAAGGAAGATTGTATGTATTGAAATATGTGGTAATATATTGTATGTAAGGTTGAAGATAGGACAAGGAAAAGAAAAGAAAGATCGCATGTGGTCCGAGACCTGATTGTTGGGTAACTGCTTCGCCACTCGCCTAGTGTAGACCCAATAAAAGAAGGAAAACTACCTATCAGAGCAGTCGTCCCCCAGAAGTCTCCTGCAGTCAGCGGCTGAATTCCACCTAGCTATCGAGCTAACGTCGAAATTCCTGCTACCGTCGGGACTTGACCCCAAGGACCTCCAGGTCAGATGCTTTGCAGTGACTTCAGTTGATGTTCTGAGCCACCTTTGCCGGTCTGGTGGCGGACTAACCGGTCTATACGCATTCACGGAATACGTGACATTTAGTCAACCATAAAACCGAATCTTGATGAAACTCAGGAGCCGACGGGTTTTGTTTCTTGACGGTTTGACCCGGGTTGAGAGATCACAATGTTTACGATACGGGTAAAACTGCCAGTGTATCCTGTACGTCTTGCGCACGGATACCTGTAGCAAGTTCCGTGTACGAGGGTATGACATCCAATGTTTATAACACAGCCACAGAAAATAAATGTGTTCGTATCGGAGGAGGAGACCATGTTTTAAATATGTTTTGTGGTCGCTAATCCGCGAATCCGGGGTTCATTTTACTCCATCACATCAGGTTTCTGACACAATCTCAAAAATATTAAAAAATGAAATATATTTCTAACCGTGGGATCAGACCATATTACCTATATGTTTTGGGGTTGCTGAAACTGAATCTGAAGTCCATTCAACTTCATCATGTAAGATTTTTCACATAACCTCAAAAAGTTTTAAAAACTGTATCAAGCTTGGAGAGAAGGCTAGTGATCTGGCGCCAACGATATAGGCAATCTGCCGTACAATGAGTTTGTACAGGCCATGAGTTGATAGCGCAACAATATATCAGAGTTCCGAGACCGACAAATCACGAGCCTTGATCTAATGGACATTATATTGTCTAGTGGTACTCATTTATTTTATTTAATGGAATTAACTTATTTTTATTATTATTTTTTATTTATAATTGTGACAATTTTTTGGTCATTATGGCGCATTACGAATGCTCTTTGAGTCTGATGCAAACATCGTTTTTTATGAAATTGCTCCAGATGTCTCATCAATATCTCGTTGCCGAAAATATTAATGTTATTTTCATTATGTTGTGGAGTATATTAATTAGCAATTACATTTCGCTTCTAGTAGTAAAAGAAATGGTAGATGGGCTGGAGCACGGCCGTCTCTAGTAAAGCCTGTTTTACACGATCATTTTTTCATCATTTTTCGCCGGTACAGAAAAGAGACAGGCCAGACTGGATGTAATTTGTACGAAAAAATCACGCATGCTTCATTCTTCAGTACAGATGCCATCCAGTTTGACTACCGCGCTTCTGGTGTCACTTTTCCTGGTTTGCGTTTGGTGCAATTTGTTCACTTTGAAGTTTCGAGAACGTTCTGATGTGTTGAATTGTATTGTAAAGTGATTATGTAGTGATAAATAAATCATGTACTGTGTCGTAATGTCACCGCGTTTCTTGCTCAGTCCAAATATAACCTAACTTAATTTGTTACTATAAATGTGATGTTCAAATGTTTGATCTTCAGCACTTTTTGTGGCGTCCAGAGGAAGTATTTTCATGCCGATTACGTACAAAGACCAGAAATGATCATGTAAAACTCTGGAGTGACTTTCATCTAGTTTCGGCATCGAAACATAACGCGTAGAAACGAACGTTCTTTTTCCATCCACTTTCTGTGTAGAAATATGACGGAAAAGGGATGCAAAATGACCGTGTAAAACTGGTCGCGAGCCGTGTAAAACATTGTCGGAAGTTGAGGGGGAGAGGGAGTACCCCTTAGCAACTCGTGCAGGGAGAAAGTAAAGAGAGTCTCCTTTAAAGATGTTTATTATACTCTCCCGCGAAGTGGAGCCTACGTCCTGGGAGCGGGTGGCGTGACGACGGCTGGCTTCGGCAGGTTGACGCGTAATGACAGGGGGCGAGGTGCGAAGCCCTCGCCATTTTACAGCCTCGGAACGCTGGCGTCGGCAAGTGACAATTGGGTCACTCGCCGGCCGCAGCGTGTCGCGAGGGCCGGAATGCCATATCGCGACACTTAAGTTACTCAAGACGACTGAGTATTCGCTTCCAATGTTTGGATTATTCATTTCCTTATCTTTTTTTCCTTTTTTTGTAAGAACTCACGGACAACCTGCTGGCGGCGCAAGTGTTCGTGTTCTTCATGGCGGGCTTCGAGACCACGTCCACCACGATGAGCTTCGCGCTGCACGAGCTGGCGGTGAACCCGGACGTCCAGGCGCGCCTGCAGGAGGAGGTGGACGCCGCCCTGCAGGAGACCGACGGCCGCGTCACCTACGACGCCGTCATGAAGATGGAGTACCTCGACAAAGTGATCCAAGGTAGCGAGGGTCCCCTACGTTGCTTTCGCGCATTCGTTGATTGATTGAATGATTAGTGATTTTGGGCGCGTCAACGGCTAAGGTCATTAGTCCCGTAAGTGTAGAGCATGCTATTATAGTGGGTGATGTCGCTAATCTTTTCCCGCTGGATGGTGAGATCTGGCGCTGAACTAACCGTCGGCTTGGGGGGTTTCTTCATCGAGGTATCTCCCACCAACGGGACAACCTGCAGGCTCCTGTCTGGCCTCCCAGCATTTGTAATAGTGTACTGTAAGTGTGTGTAAGGGGCGAGGATAGGGCTAAGAAGAGGAAGGAAAGATCACATCATCTTTGACACGTTTGTAAAGATACTACTCCGGCATTCGCCTGGTATTGAGCGGAGAAACCAAGGAAAACTACTGATCAGAGCTAACACCCACTACAGTGTTTTTGCAATCACTATTTGTCGTTTATATAATTTCAGTAGACATTTTTCGTGATCTAATTTCCATACTGCAAACAAAAGAAATCCGTTAATTTGTGTCGTCTGCATGGTACTCCGATCCCTGCGGCGGCCTGGCATTCATCCCGAGCGGTTCAAGACTGGCGGCGGTACATCCCCACCCATTCACCCCCCCCCCCGACCCCAGGCTTCGAGGAAAAATATGCTATTTGGCGAACTAGCCAAGCGTCTGGATATTTCAGCACCTTTTTGTACAGTATGAATTAAGATAACGTACCGCTACCAACATAAGGGCATGCGGACATGCGAATTCAAACGTTACGTTAGAAGATTATCCGAATTCAGTATTCACCTGCTTCATCTGGTCCTCCAGTGAGCATGATAAACGTTAGAATAATGAAAGTTGTTCCAAATTATAGTGGTGTGTGCTGATATCCTTAAGTAATCGTAACAAATGAGCAAACAAATGAGCAAACAAATGACCTTTGAATTAGTTTGTGCGAACGAATAGGATGAGCCATTCTCATAATTTAGCGATTGAACATCGTTTCAGTTCTGAACAACTTAAATTAATGGGATGTAAGAAGAATCTGCTTGATTGTTTGTGGAACAATGTGCCACGATTGTTTAAGTGGTTACGCGATTGCCTATTAGGAGTTTACGCTATCTAATGCCACGTCGTGCAAAAACTCTCTGATGCAGGTTAAACTAAGACAAATGAGATGACATTTGGTTTCAGTGTGAGATACCCTCATTTCCTGTTCTCTGCGCTGATGTCGCTGTCCTAAACAGCATAGTCAGTGTAAATAGTGAGTGGACATTTGCATATTCATCTCTGATATTGATCTGTAGAAACTGTACAGTGAAAGTTAAGAGCAATAAGATGCAACAAAAAGTTCGTTCTTTATTTTACCAAAAGTACTTTCACAGAACTAAACCAATACCAGGTACTAATTAAAACAAGAAACATTGCGTCGAAATGCGGCGCAAAATCTGTTTGTTATAAAACCACTTTGTTTCATTATTTTGTAGGATTGCCCTTTGCATAGAATATAGCATGCAGCCTGTCTCTCTGGGTTCCACACGTTTATCGATATTTAGATAGAAATACGGATTCACTTTCCTTTTAATGCTCTTTCTTCTAATGAGATCCTGTTTGTTTGCAATTTTCCTTAATCAAGTGTTTGTTTCCAGCATGCTAAATCTTTAATACGATTTAGAACCGGAGATGTGCCGTTACTTGTTTTAGATTGTTTAGTGATTATTTTAGTAAAACGGAACAAAATCGTTTAGTCTGTAAACTTTTCTGTTTGTAAGGTATTGACGAGCCAACGCGTCATTCGACTTTCTTCGCATTTGGTCTGAACGTCCCTTGAAAACATTGAAAATGACTTAATTTTTTATGCAAGTAATACTGTTTACAGAATTACTAATTACATTATGTTTTTTTTTCTATAAAGGACATTCTCTGGATGGCCAGGCGTTAAGGCACCGTAGCGATCTCAAACCGAAGGATCGCGGGTTCAAATCCCGCCTCGGGCGTGATTGTATTTGTGTTCGTCCTTTCACCCCCTATGATCACCACGTGATGTCATCTTCACAGTTACCATACCGTTAAATGAAATAGTGGTCGCTAATAATCTAGAGGTTGATGCGACCTCGTAAGATACCACTTTCTTCTCGTAAAATATTTCTTATCGCCTTACATAAGGTATTATTTGTTTATTCATTTTGTGCTTTGGGGATTCACCAAGTGCAAAAAGTATTTTGAGATATTGCAAATTGAAATTGAGTACTCAACATCTTGGGCTAGACGGGAGATAAACTTTGTTTTTATAAGCGCACTTTATTAAGGTAATACAGCATTTAAGAAAAAACAAAATAACAAAAAAAGTGTGTGTGTATATATGTATATATGTATATATGTATATATGTATATATGTATATATGTATATATGTATATGTGAATATATTATTTTATTTAATAGGTAATTATTACAAACAAATTAGCTTACTTGATCCTATGTGGCTAGGCCGAGGGCCTTTAAGCCATTACAATACCTACATCCTTTCGCGTTCTAATCTTTCGAATTCTGGTATTCACCCCAAATGGTCTCTCCATCGCATCAAAGCCGCGGAAAAGAGACCATAAGGTACGGCTCAGGAAAAATCCTCTAAAGGGGGAAAAACCTGCCGTCAGAAGCCGAGTACATTCTAATCTATCCGACATTTATTTTAACTATTTATTTTCTGGCGCGAGCGTCCCGCCGTCTCCTTCCAGTGCTTGGCCTCCTCGGCACCTGAAATCAAACAGCGCCATATATCAAATATCATGTATCATGTATCATATATCATACATCATACATCGTACATCACACATCACACATCATACATCACACATCATATATATATATATATATATATATATATATATATATATGTATATATATATATATATATATATATATGTATATATAAAGTATGGAGTCAATCAATCGGTGGTGGCCCCGGTCCCAAGTCCCGAAATGTCGCAACCCGGGCGTGGCCCACGTGCGCAGAGACGCTGAGGAAGTACCCGCCGGTGTCGACCCTGGCGCGCGGCTGCACCGCACCCTACCGCATCCCGGGCACCGACGTCACCCTGGAGAAGGGCACGCGCGTGCTGGTCCCAGTGTTCGCGCTGCACCGCGACCCCGCGTACTACCCGGAGCCCGAGCGCTTCGACCCCGAGCGCTTCAGCCCGGAGCAGAAGGCCCAGCGCCCGCCCTTCACCTACCTGCCCTTCGGCGAGGGACCGCGCATCTGCATCGGTGAGTGGCGCAACCAGCGCCCGGCAACTCTCCATCAAAATTGGGGGCAAAGCTAGAGGTTGCTACTTTAGGATGTCGCAGGATACAGCTGCTGGTACGGCTCGCCAACTTTCGCACATAAAAATTGGTCAAGAAATACGAACACACTTTGATTATGAACGATTTCTGAAATAAATTGCAAAAGAAGTTAAATACTGTGTGATTAACTTCTAAAATTCAATTATTCGTAATAATACACGCACGAAAGAAAAGGTAGCGCGAACAGCGACGCGGTCTTTTGTATCAAGCGAGTGTGTTTGCGTTCCGAGAACCCACGCACATTTTAAATAACGTTGGTAGCAAGTAGTTCGTGTAAGAAGGTGTTCTAGAGCGTGCCACAGTAATGGTCTCCACCACGTTGAATGGGAGTTATAGGGCCCTGGGCGCAACTTCAACCTCACTCGACCTCAGGGGCGGAGACAGCCGATCCTTTTGGAGGGGGCCATCGTAGGATTTTGTTCAATAATAAACATTGGTTATTACATTGAATATTATTTTTGTTGTATATTTATCCAGGTATCCGGGGAGGAAACGTCCAAACGTCGCAAATAAGCTCTTGAGACAATTTTAAGCATATTTTGTCTAATAAACTAGTAGATATTCCGAATGGTTAAGCCGCAATAAACTCTCAACAGTAGGTTTGAAAAAATGCTTTTTAGGAAGAAAAGAGTTGCATTGCAGCAGCATAGAAACACTCCAAAAGCATGTAAATTGTTTATTATTTACAAAAGGAATTAATGTATTTGATTAGAAAGAAACATTAACACAGAATTGAAAAAAGCACTTAATGTACACAATTTGACTCTTTTATTTTTATTTCTCGCTTAATTTTTCCTTCTGAACAAATATATTCATTTCTTTTGTAAATAACAAACAATTTACATGTATCTGGAGGGTTTATATGCTTCTGCAATGCAAATTTTTTCCTAGAAAGCATTTTTACAAAGTAACTTTTGAGTGCTTATTGTGGCTCAACCATTCAGAATATTCCAGTAGTTTATACGACAAAATATGCTTAAAATTGTCTTAAGAGCGTATTCGCGATGTTTCTGTTTTTCCTACCAGTACACTCTGTATATATGATACTATAAAATATTATTTTTTAAAAAATTACATGATTCTAACATAAATATTTAGATCAATTTTGCCAAATAAAAGAAAGTAATAAACGACAACGAAGGCCTTTTTGGGGGGACATGGCCCTCATCCCCCCCCCCTCCATCTGGATCCGTCTTTGCTCGTCATTGAGGCGTTCGAGTGTCGATGAAGGTATCTATTATTTTTCGTTGCACTCTTTACACGAGGCGAGCTGTTCGTGCTGTACTGTGCAAGTAAATAAATCGTCGTTTCGGTATTGTCGGAGAACAATCCAAATTTTTGGATTTCACTCAGTGTCAGATACAATTAATTATACTTGAACGTTCCAATTCCTCAACTCCCTATGTTTCATGTAACGAGTATTATCTATCTTCTTTTTCTCTTTCTTCGACGCTACAGCGTCATTTCAGCCTTGGTCACGACAAATCTTTTTATACGGGTAAAATCTAACTCAACATTGGTATGAATTTTACTAATGCGAAAGGAATAAAATAAAATATTATCCTAGGTGTTAAACATATTTCGTTCACAAGAAAAATGTACTTCAGAAGCAACTTCGTCACTCGTGAGATACACTTTCCCCTCGTAAAATATTTCTTATCGTCTTCCATGAGGTATTATTTATTTATTCATTTTGTGCTTTGGGGATTCACCAAGAACAAATTAAAGAGCAACATACCAAGTACAAGAAGTATTTTGAGATACTGCAAATTGAAATCGAGTACTTAATATCTTGTGCTAGACGGGAGATAAACTGTTTTTTATAAACACACTTTACCAAGGTAATACAACATTTAACAAACAAAAAAATGATATTTAAAGGTAGATTTATTCTGTAAATATTCTCTTTTTCGTAACAATGTGAAAAAAGGAAATAATGGAAAAATTAGTATACCAGGACTTCAACGCCTTCACTAATCAAATGAATAGAAAAAATGCGACCTGGAAAAAAAATCAAAAACGGATTTAGTAAGTCTCATTCGCATTCCGCCTATTTATGTATTTATTTACAGACGAATGAATTGTTGTTGACTGACGGCGGCGCGTGCGCTGTGTGTGTGTGTGCAGGCATGCGCTTCGGGCTGCTGCAGGCCAAGACGGGGCTGGCGGCGCTGCTGGCGCGCTACTCGTTCGAGGCGTGCGAGCGCACGCAGGAGCCGCCGCGCCTCGACCCCAAGGCGCTCGTCACGGCGGCCGAGGGCGGCGCCTGGCTGCGCGTGCGCGCGCGCTGCCCTTCCGCGGCGCCCTAGGGCCCGCGCCCACGCACGCGCCCACGCCCAGCCCGGCCGCGCCATGCCGCGCCACCCGGCCCGCGCCACGACCGCCCACGGCAAACGCGCCCCAACGTACGGCGCCACACCGCGCGCATCAGCGTCCGCGCCCAGCCCGGCCGACGCTTTCCAGCGACTGCTCCCGCGCCCAACGATGCGCCAGCCCGGGCCACCTTCTTCCGCGCCCAGGACTGCGCCACGCACGCGTCCTACGCCACTGCCGCACCTGCGGTCGGCCCGACCAACGCGCCACGCCGCTGCCTGCCGGCCCACGCCTCGCACGCCCAGCCGCGCCCACTCACTGGCGCCGCGCCCACGCACGCGCCAGCAAGTCACGCCATGCCCCGCGGGCCGGCAACGCCTTCTCGCCCCAGGCACACATACGCTGTGCCGAATCCAAACGCCACGCCTGTGCTGCGCCGCGCCCATGCCCGGCAAGTCACGCCAGCGCGGCCTGCAGATCGCCTGCGCCACGCCACGCCTGCGCCTGTGCCGCGCCAGCGCTGCCCACGCGCGCCATTGCCGGACCTCACGCCACCGCGATCCCAACCACGTCCGCACCGCGCTCGCGCCCCGGCCCGGTTGCTCCCGCGCCTACGCCCGCCTCGTCCGCTCCGCCCCCACCTCCAGCCAGGCGTAATACGTGGGGGATCTGCCGTAGGGCCACTTCCACCTGCTGCGGTTCCGAACAGGACGCAGCTCTAGTAGCAGAGCTATTGTTTCAAGAGCTTTGGTTTCCACGGCGGGCGGCGCAGCGGTGATGGCGTGCGAAGAGCCTGCTGCTTGAGGAAGCGTGCCGCCCTGGCGACGTGGGAAGGCGCCCTAAGAAAAACTGTAGATTATCCGAGAATCCCATCGGACGTACCCCATACTCCAACAAATGCGGGCGGGGGGCATTGGAAAAAATGAGCCCCCCATGCGCTGGCACCCGTTGCCAGGAATGGCCAAAACGATTGCCAATGCCGATATCTCGATATTGAAAATTGTTGAAAGGCCAACATGGGTAGGTTGTACTATGTGTGAATGAAATGTATCAGTGCTTCTGTTTTTATTCGTGGACGCTATGAAAAGTGCAATTGTGAGATGTTAAATGCGATTTGAGCTTCACATGATTTCACATTTGATAATACATCGTGTAGCCAAACACAATGCCTGATGCCAAAGTGTTGTATTTAAAATGATTGAGGGTTAAAAGATTAATTGTGAAATGCAATTAATTAGTGTTGTGATTTAATTATGAGTGGTTTGAGTTTGGGATGTATTATATTTAATTACTCTTCATTGTAAAACGAACAGATATAATGAAATAATAATATGAGTTGTCATAGCCAACAATATTGTTTATTTCAATAGCAGATTTCGATGGCTTAACCATCATTATCAGTATTGATGGCATTTGCCATTTAAATACCAACTACAAGTCACCACAATACCAAGAACAGATATAAATTCTAGTCTCATGTGTTGCGAAATATACCCAATGCCCAATACCATTATATTGATATCTGGAATGTATAATGCCGATATTTACGAAAACCCATATTTTCCACAATTAAATCAATTAATTAATAGCAGCATAGCTACGTGTTTCTTCCGTCCGCAGCGACCTCGAAATCTAAAATAACAGACGACTTTGGGACCGGTCCTACATTATGTAACATAACGGAAGAGGCGTATTTGGATAACTTGCAATTACCGTTGTAAGAAAATTGAAGAGTTAATTTCCGAAGTGACATATCTCCATGTTAGTTAATTTTCTATTTTTTTACCACATCAGTACGCTTCGCCAATGTGTCCTCCGTTCACTTACGTCACTACGCAACGGAGGGGACTTACCAATCCTTGCAGTCTCTGCAATGATTTTGTCAGTGTTCTCTGACTCTGATGTGTCGTGAAGAGTGGTAAATTAGCGAAAACAACAATGAAGACTTTTAGGTAATATCCAAGGTACCATGACAGTTTAGATACTATAATTTTTGCAAAAACTGTCAACAAAACATTGATAATAACCTCTAGGTTTCTCACAATTCATAAATTTTTACATAACACAGTAACACACCACACACATGCACTGTAAATCGAAATGTTTCGAACAAAATATATCATTTACTATGTTATTATTTGATGATTTACCCAAAATAACGTTGGTAATAAAATTAACATTTTGCCGTAATTTGTTCATGAGAGAATGAGGAAAGTCATTTTTCAAGGAAAATGTCTTGAACTTACCAAAGTCGATTAGACTGAATATTTTTCAGCATGGAACCTAGAACATCACGGTGCGTAATACAACTAGATGCTGCAAAGTAAACAAAACCTTGTGGCGTCATGAAACATATCTGCTTCTTCGATTTCCACGAATTCGTACCAAAAATAATGTGCGCAGCTCATCCAAAAATCTTTTGACGATTTCAAAATGCCGGACTCGACTCACAGGTGGATCCAGAGGGGGGGCTTGGGAGCCATGGGCTTAGTTTTCTTTTACCTTCCTTTATTTGGAAAAATTAATTGAAATATTTGTTTTAGAATAATGTAATTATTTAAACAATAATATTGTATAGAATCATATCTACAGTACATAAATAATATACAATATAATAACAAATATTTTATTATTTAACAAAATCTACGATGCCCCCCCCCTCCCAAATCATCGGCTGGATTCCCCCCTGAATCGACTCTTATCATTGCCTCATTCGCACGCTAAAGATACGCGTTCTAAACTTGATACCAACATAACAATTCCTATATAGTTCGAAACTCCTTTGCTTGTAAATCCTTTATGTCCAAAAATTTGAATTTTAAAAACATCGATTATAAGCAGTTATGTTTAGCTCTCACCTATAACTGTCAAATACAAATACATTCCTACGCTACCTAGTAGAGGAGACCGGGATTGTGACTGTTTTCATTTATTCAATTTTTGAAGGTGTATGAACCGTAATTTAAAAATTATAATAAATGGAACAAACAGAAGGATCTTTGTATAAATGTCCATACATTTGATTTTAAAATAAATATAATGTTTTTAATTAAATATAAATAATTTTATGCAGCAGTGAACCATATTCCAACATGCCCCCTCTACGAGAAAAGTTGTGACTCTACTGGCGCACGTTGTGACATATGTAATAGAAACTACAATATTGTTTAATTCATATATAACAAACATCTCCGCAGTGCTGATTCATTTATACACTAACTTTTATATAACTTCATTAGTCTAAAATGGAACTAGCACTACATTTTTTACCGTTCTTTGATATACATACGAGAAGAAAATTTAAAGAAAAAATTTGGTGCCGCTTAAGAGAGAAAAAAAATTGTTTAAAAATATTAAAATTGCCTATATTTCGCGCTAAATTACACTAAAACTACTTATACTTTCCAAAAATTGAGCTTGACCTTATTTGAAGATCTGTCTTTAAAGAACAGATTTCATTAAGGAAAACAATATCTATCTTCAACATTATACCTGTAACACGGCACACAATTACGTACCTTTCTTTTCTTATGGGCGAGAAACTAAAAATGGAAGTAATTTTTGTAAAACTCAAATTAACGTTTTTGCAAAAATGTCACTGTTTGATTTAAAATTACACAAAAACAATTTTGAAGTGTCAAGAAATGAAAATGATCACACACACGCACCACACATAGGTTGAGAAATGGATTGCATTTTTAGCTTCAATAGTGATTGTGATGAACAAATTTGAAAAAAAAAGTTGAACATTGAGTTTTTAAAATGTTTTTATTTATTTCCATTTAACAGGATGAACCTTTAACAAAAAAGAAAAAATCATACATAATTACAGAAACTCAAGTACAAAATGTCAAAATAACAAAAATAAAAATAAAGTCACAACCATAAAAAGTGATAAAAAAGAACATATATTTGGAACCAAGAGTGTTTAAAAAAAATTAAGTTGTCTTTCAAAACACTTATGTAAAGTCAGGACTGAAAAAAAAAGTTTAAGACAAATGCAAACATTTTTGAAGTTGTGATGGAAAAAATCAATCCTTTTGGCATAGTAATTTATGGTTCTAGGTAATCTATTTAAGATATAATAGCAGTAGTTAGTAGATGTATCGTCCCAGAAGCAGGTAGAATTTCTCGTTCTAATCTCAGGGATTTGAAGAGAGATAAGAGAAAGATGTTCTGGGCAATCAATGAGACCATGTACTATTTTATGGAAGAAAATTAAATCATAGAATTTTCATCTACCCTGAAGTTTCCAATTTAAATAAATTGTAGAATTTGGAAAGGTCATGATTGAATCTATGAATTGGTGTCCCGTTTCTGAAAGCTAGGTGGCACAGAAATTTACTTTGTACCTTTTCCAAATGATTGATATATAAATTAGTGTAATGTAACCATATGACAGAGGCAAATTCTAAAATAGGACAAATCAAAGTGTTATAAAGAATTAATAATTTATCAGTGGACTGGAATGATTTGGTGTTGCGCAAAATCAGACCCAAGGAATGCAGAGCTTTATTTACTGTAACAGTAATATGTACCTTAAAATCAAGTTTAGAGTCAAAAATCACTCTGATAAATGATGTTAGAGGCAGTGCTCAGGGACATACCATTTAAAGAATATGGTTAGCTTGTGGCATTATGTTTCCAGGCAAAAGTCATTGCACAATACATATCAGTGTGGAGTTCCATTAAAATGTTCATGTCAGGTATACAGGAGCAGGATTTCAAATGAATTACAGATGAGCATTAAAAGCAACTATATTTCCAATATCAAGTAACAGTTTACTATTTATAAATGATATGAATGAATCTGGATTGTATAAACTGTTCATTACATTCTTAATGTGAAAATAATGTTTGTACATATTAAACAAGAAAACAAAAGAGATATGATATACAAATTGGATACAAAATTATCCATGATTCTGTTTACAAGAAACCACAAATCAGTTCACTTCCATTAGTTTTGCTGAACTCTTCATTCAAGATAATCACTCAACAGATCTAAAAACATTCATTAACACCCATAACATAAACCATGGAGACTTCTTTTTAATAATATCTATATGGATACCATATGACAATTGACAGCAGTGTTTCATAAACAATAAATTTAGAGTTTTTTATAATTATCTAATAGATTATTTTCCCTAACTGTCTGGTACACTAATTTTATCTCAAACACATTGTACTAAACTAATAGACAGAAATAAATTAATAGGACCTACACTTTTAGGAATGTTTCCAACTGACAATTTCACAAAATACCAATTATTTCTTGAAATTTTGCATACAAAATAAATATGCAAAAATGTTCACAACTATACATCAAGATTACTATTTAAGTACAAGAGCAATGCTAAATTCTCAAACAAATAGTCAAATTTAATATTATCCTTCATTCTCTAAAGAAATACTTAAAACAGCACTTCATTGAAGTCCAAGGCAAATCCATGAATATTTATAATGGGGAGACTTTTTCCATAAAATCCCAATTTAAAGTATGTTGTTTCTAACAACTCCATTACTACATTATCAAATTTATTTTCATAAATTTTCATATTTGTTACTAACTGCACAATACTGAATGTTTTCAAAATAAACATGAATTAATGTATTTGCAAGTAAAATAAATTGAAGATTGCATTACCTTCTGAGGGGGAAATTATTCTGTAAATCCCCCCACTTGCCACTTCAGTACAAAAGTAAATATTTCATAACAAGCTGCATTTATAACAAAACTTAGAGAATATGTTGCACTATTTATTGATAAACAATAAAACCTGAATACTCTGCATTTACACAATACATTTCATACTCAATGGGCACATTCCTGGAATACGAACTACTATACACAACACACAATGAATAAATCTATTATAGAGAGAACAATAAATGTGGATTCCACAACAACAAAATACTATATATATAACCATTTCAAATTATCCTTAATAATAGCATATCAAAATATTAAAAACTTCATGAAAAATATTGAGAATAGACAATGGAAAAGATATAGAACTAAAATTGAAAAATTTAAAGTGTAAATTTAAGAAATGAAATGGAAAATAATTACAAAACTCAAACTAACATATTTCGGTTTCTGTAGGCACTAAATGTACATCCTTATAGCCACAAACTGGAATTAGGTCTGACAGATCTCCTATCTTTGGCAGAAAATAATAGGAAAGAAAAGACTAAAGAAATAAAACGTTCTTTAGAAATACACACAATTCTAAAAAACTAGTGTGCAAGGACGACAATGACACTTTACAATTACTTTTTTTCCCCTCATTTTCATCCTAATATTTTATATTGAGCACTTTATTGAAACATTCTTTCTCTCTTGGGTACACACTTCAATAAAAAATCCATAGGCCATTCTTTATTCTACAGGAATGTATCTACTTTTTCAAGATTCGTTGCATGTCTTTGTTTTGTTTATCAATACTCAAATCTGCCTTGTCAGTTTTGAACATAATATCCTCCAATAAATCATTTTGTGAATCAATTTCTTCACCAAGACCTACAGCCATTCCTTTCAAACGACTTATGGAACCCAGCATTTCATCCATATTTTGATCTAATCTCTTTTGTATGTCAACTGAAGGGCTGTATGAGTAACGCTCCTGCTCTTCAACAAGTCCACGGGTTCGCATACCTGGAATTGTTAATACAGAATTATTAAACCCGCAAAAACCTTACCTACATAAGTGGATATAATTTATATTTTCCAGCTTTGTTACTCAAAAATTTGCGTCACACATATGTTCATACTCTACACCAAGACAAAACAAAGCATTGTTTATGCATGAAAAATTAAAAGTATTAAGATGTAATACATACTCTATTATGATATTGATAACAACATACAAAGAATAAATATACATAATATTCAATCCACCACAAATGGCAAATTACAGATTATTATTAACTGTTTGAAATAATAATAGATGTTCATGGGTTATATTTATTTTGAAACAATACCTGGATGATTATCCATGGGCGATCCACCATAAGTTGTTTTGGTTCTGTCAATAATACTTGTCAGAGGACTGTTGACTCCAGAACCTTCGCCACTATCAATGTCACCATCTTTTGGTTTTGTATTGGGTACAGGATCTCCCGATCTTCCACTTATATAGTTTTTCAGGCTTCCAAAGACACTCTATTCAGAAAAGTAAATAAAAAATGATTATCAATTACAGAAGATGATCAATAGCAACAATTTACTAGCTCAAGTTTTTCACAACCTTAATCCCTTGAATATGTTTCTGGCTAAAACGAAGGGTCGAATTTATATCATCTAATCTTTTCCCAGTTCTTTCAAGTTGTTCTCTCTGTCGCAACAATTCCTGTAAACAAAGGCAGAAGTGTAGAACAAAGGAACACAACGCAATCATAATACATGTCATATAAAACCACATTATGGGTAATTATAATTGAATCTCACCTCTGCAGTTGCCACACCGATCTGTTCTGAATCGCGTAATAAACCAATCGATCTTTCCGATGATTGAATCGTTCGGTCCTCTATTTGGCGTCTTCTTTCCAACAACTCTTGATGTTTCTGCTCCAGATAATCTCGCTCTTGGGCCGGATTGAAGGTAGACTGTGGAACTCGGGAATTGCGAAGAAACGTTTCATCATCCACGTCATCGTCTTCCACAGAAAAAAATGGATTGCCAGGGTTACTTAAATACGAATTTCCAGCCATAGCACATAAAAGTCAAATTACCAATTGACCAGATTTCAGAGGTCAACTGATCATATGGTCGTGACGTATGGCTTAGCTGACACTAGGGGGCACTGCGGGGTGCGGAAGGGTAAATGGACCACAGAATGTACAGGAATCATCAGTATGACCAACTAACATTCATGAAAATCATATATATCATTGTCCCTGCGCCGAAAGCGATCGGGATGAAAAAGTGAGATAAAATAAAAATTTGTCGCCGATGTTATAGAGATATTCTGGAAGTCGATTCATTGGTGTCATGTTTATCCCTGTGAGAGTGTATGGAGAAACGTAAGTGTTATTAAAAAATGCTGGTTCCACAATCAGAAGTCAATGCATTAACGGACTGGACGGATCCACGCACGGGTCTTAGATATTGGCAACGTGTTTTTTTTCTCCCTCAATTCTTGATGTCGCCAAAGATGAAATTCCATGGAAAGCCGTCTTACGTGATATTATTATAACACTTATCGTTAATTTACAATGATTTCCATTTTCTTTCAAGCCCGCCTCGAGTCGATTGCAATGATGGGTGAATTTTTGGTAATATTTCTAGATTTAAATTTTTTATACTTGCGTTCACTTTTTCGAGAAGATCGAGAATAAACTGTGTGAAAATAAGCGAATGGCATTGAAGTAAATATTAACTTTCTGCTTTTACTGTCCATGCTTAGCATGTCAGTTAAATTTTATTTGTGGGCCCTGATCACTGTGTGCTATAAGTAAGTATTGTAAGATATTTCTTGCACTGTGGCTCTGACTATACCACATTAAAACTGATGTGCCCAGTTATAGTTTTAGTCAAACTTTTGCAAACTTGCCCACTGGTTACCTAAATATGTTTTACAGTTTTCTTTGCATTAAATTTAGAGGCTGAAGACATTTGAATATGTTCGGCAATAAAAAAAATGTAAATTTAAATCCTATTTTCTTTTAATGTTAATGCTGTTCAGTGAAGCAAAACTAATTATTACGTATCTGTAAGCTGTGTTTTGTAATAAATTGACTCTGAGAACATCTTGCATCAAAAGCATATATTTTCAATGCCCAAAGGGCCTACATTATGTTTTTGTTTCTTATAAAAAAAAAATTTGAATAGTGCTGGAATATTTCACTATCTTAGGTGGTGGTTACGTACCAAAGATGGTAGTTTGCTCCTGATCCTTACCAGTCATAAATTTTGAAAAATTGACCACAATTTACAAATGGTGGATGACATGATTGGTAGAAAATATAAAGATCCTAAGCAAGGATGAGCAATGGACAAAGGTACTGGTGATGATAGTTAAATAATATAATAAAATAAAGGTATGGATAACTGGTAAGAAATATTAAAAGATATGACAGTATAGAAAAAAAATATATTCTTACTGACGATCAGTTCTTAATATAAAACTTTTGAAAATGAAACAGACATTCAGCCATTCATCTGTTTCACCAGATTTTTGAAAGCAATCAGGAACACATTTTATCAGGTCCAGTGGCACTAATCCAATACAAAGAATATAAAGCTTTACTTTTTCTTAAATTTTGTTTAGATGAACAATGGTTGTGTAACTACTGAAGTTTGTATGTTTTCTTCGTAAATATAAATTTATGCTAAAACATTTTTATAATTTTTTTTTTATTTTACGCCAATCAATAGGCACATGTCCAATACATAAATTGAAGAAATATGACACTTTTATACAAGCCATGACATGTGTACTTCAGAGTGAAAGTATGTAAGTGCAAAAGAAGTGAAATAGTATAATAAAAATGACAATAACCTACCAATAAAATTAATTGATTAACTACAAATTCTTAATGGTCCTTTTAGGGTTTGAATAAATGGATGAAGTCCAAAATCATTTCCAGTAATGTATTGATTTGTCTGGGTAAGGTACAGATCTATAAATGCAGTAAAACTTCACTTGTACGTTTTTCAGGGGACTGAAGGTAATAAATGTATAAGTGAGAAAAGTGCATAGCTGAAATTGATTATTATGAGCAGAGTCTCCCCTGAAGTGGAGGTAGCGGACATGCAATGTGGACCTTTCTGATGACTATGGAGCGGATTTTAAAGAAACACAATTTTTTTCGTTTCACTTTAGAACAATGCTGGTTAGTATAAAATTCATTTTATGCCAAGACAAAATAAAATGACCTATTTTTATGTCCTTTTTTCTTTATTAATTTTTGTCGATATATACTAATAAGTCATTTTAATGCATTTTTTTTACTGATTTCATCGATTTTAAATGTACTAGCTTTAAACAATATTTACGAGGTGCAACAAATGTTCACCACAATTCCTGAGTAGCCTATTCCATTTCTTCGCTCATGTATAGTAACGTCAGCCGTTGTGAGTACTATGTAATCTAAGGTTCCCGTGACGTTTCTCGGTGCCATTGTCATTTTGGCCGATTTCGCGAAAAATAAAGGCCGAGAACCAAAGTTTGCAAGCAGATTTCACTTGAACAATAGGAGAATGCCTCGATTACATCAGTAACATATTCAACAGTTTGAGTTGTTCATCTGAAGTGGTTTTGACCAAATTTTTTACGTCATTTTTGTTTTTAGGGCATTTTTAAAGCATTTTATTGATCATGTTTGGCGATGTTTTTGGTCATCAAAATCCGCCCGACTGAGCGACTCGTGCGTTAAGTGTTTCACTGCGGAAAAGAAGGCCGTGCCCTGTGTGGGCTACGTGTGGCGACGGCGGCCCACGGCTGGTTGTTTCGGTTTCGAGCTCAATGTTACTTGAGATTCCGTGGGTCAAAGCTCGGTGTTGTACGTGGGCGAAAGGAAACCGCTACAGCCTGGCGACATTCCATTTGATGCTTGGGCCCCGCCGCTACCGAACGTCTCTCGTATGTTATTACGGCGAGGAAAGGGCCTTCGGAGAGCGGGACGGTCAGCGCACTCACTTCACTGCTTCACTTGGTGGTCATCTACGTCGTTCCTCTCTTCCGGGGGCGCCTTTGACTTTCCCTCGGAACTAGCCGTCGCCTCCTGAGAACTTCAAAGAGCTCCCGTACGCACCCGACTGAAGTTTCTTCCGCACTCACCCGACTGAAATTTTTGGAAGTTCCGCTGCTGGAGGCGGTCTGGGAGTCGACTTCACGCCACCACTCCGCGGGCTCGGGCGGTCTTGGCCCCTCGGCTAGGCCGAGTCGAGCTTATATTGTGGTGTCGTATCAGTCGCCTTGTACAAAGGTGACAAAATATTAACCACGTGCATTTCATGCTCATGGACAGCGCTGGCGGGGAGAGACGCCGGGCTGAACAATGGCAAACCTAGGGAGCGGAAGGGAAGGGGTGCCGTGTCGTGGGTGGTCACTTGTGAACCCCGTAGACAGGCTAGCTGTGGAAACGCGTCGGCGGAAACAGCGAGATGACGCAGGTCCGTCAGCCGGCCCAGAAGGTAATATAAACGGACCCCGGACCTAAACTCCTAATTCTTGGGCGCGTCGGTAGGAAGTCCTGTGGGGTGTGCACGGCGCTGCATTTCAATGCATAGGCTACTGAGACAGGGAACTGAAGCCAGCGTGCTACGTCGAGGCGGGAGGTGCGGCATACTCGCTTGTATGCTCACGTAGGCTACTGGTGCATCACACCGAATAAGATATCTAATTATCAGGCCAGCGGTGGTGGTGACCAGGAACATTCCTTCTAGTAACGGGTCAATATTGTTTATTGTATTGTACATAGTTATCAGGTGTTGGAGCGTATTTCAAATAAATACTCAATGAATTACAAACCGTTTACGTCTGTGATTTATTGCCCCGGCAAAGACGCCACAATATTACAAGTTTCACTAGCGGGAAGTCGCTCCGTGGTAGCGCTCGGGGCGTGCCCACTCGAGTATAAGTAGTAGCATTAAAATGACAATAACATCTTGAAATGTTAAATTATCTGCTACTAAAAATAATTATCTACTGTATAATGTCCTAATCTGTAGCATTATTGTAGTATAATCCCTAGGCCAACGACCCCATCTTGATCAGGTTTTGTTCAGTTTCCCTGGTCACTTCAGTAAATGCTGAGATGGCCCCTTGTTTGCTCCTGAACAGTAATGTAACTTCATTCTCTCCACCCAAGACATCATATTGACTCGTCATACACGATTGTAATTGTAATTGTGACTCAATAAATATTATTATTATTAGTAACATGAAAGTTTCAGGCTCTTGGGGAAGGTCGCCCTGCATCTCGACTGGGATCATTTGAATGTTATGAGGTCTTGAGGGACTTTTATTATGAACCTATAAGTGTGAGAAACGGTTAAACATAAAACCCATATTTGAAGTAATTTAGAACGGGAATTATAGGAATTTATTTGAAACTTAACAAAGAACAAAATTATAAACATGTGAGAAACATATGAACGGAGTTCACTGTATAACATGCAGTTTAATAAGAGTCTCCTTACGTAATGCCAACCCATTTCCTGTTCCCAATTGGGTGCAAGATATGCATCTTTATGTACATATTATTATTATGAGAATATATGCATCTTTTCCACGTAGTTTGCACTCTGCTATCCTCTGGAATTTGTAGACCAGTCAAGTATAGTAGATATCTAAATTAAATGCTATGTTTTTGATGGTAAATATCATAAGCAATGATGAATAGGAAGTGAGCTAGAGTTAAACAACAAAATAATTAAAACCTTCAAAATATATTTTTTGTTGAACATTTTATAAATTTTATAATAAAAATTTGTTAAAATATGACAAACAAAAAGTAATTGCTAACAGATGAAACCCAACTGATTTCATTTTGGATCCACCTTCAATCAATCATCCTCCTTTACCTGTGGTTGATGTTCCATATGAGGTGTCGATTACTTCCTCACCTTCATCATGAGGTATCCCATTAAGTGCCATTGTTGCCTGAAATACACCGAAGGTCTCAGAATGATATGAAAGCAGAACATGAATATGGTGGAGCTGAAGACAATGGAATTCCTAGCTGATCACTGGAGCTGTGCTGAATCAAGCCAATCAACATATCCTTTGGTCATTGGCACGATACACACACTCAGTGAAAACATCACTACTCTTATTGAATTTTTTAAATTCAGCCAATATTGTAAAATGGAGGTGTGTATACACACATGAGAGGGGTAGGAGACTCTTATGACAGAATTGCATGAAAGGTGAGGGGGTTAAAATATACTTTATTTACAAGCCCCTATAAATGCCTCAAAGATAAAGGTTTTCTGCAGGTTACTGAAAACTTTAAAGGCTCAGTATCAGGAGCTTGCACAAACTACATCAAAGGCAGAGTGTCTGTGGCTTGGTGGTGCACAGCTACCCAGGCTTCCAGTCAGACTGAGTGTTTGAAGGAATCTATAAAGAGGCAAGGCTCCACCAGAGACATTTTCTTTCCGTGGGGTATCTCCAAACAATTTAAACCACAGAGGTGTTTCACCACATTTCAGTAAGTAAGGTAATTTCATTTACATTACACTTTCCTTAATTTTAGAGAGACACCTGGACTGGGCTCTCTACTTTAAAATCCTTCAGGGTTTTGGTGAATGATTAGAATACCTTACTGAATAAGCAGCATTTATTATTTTTTCCTCTTTACAACAATGGACAGGGCATTAACAAAAGGAAAACAGCATAAACATGAAATATGAATGCGAACAAATAAGAAGGCTAGCTAACCACAACCTAATTACAGACTATTTAAGGATGAATTTTTTAAAACCTATTTTGTATTACCTCAAAAATATGATTACTTTATAAGGGACAAAATTTTCATCCTTTCTGTCATTAATTATGAGTAAAATTATGTAACTTAAAAAAAATATATATTTTGACATTTTCAACTGAAATATGCAAAAATCAGTTTCTGAAAATATTCTGTTTTAATTCAAAGTGTTTAAAGGCTCATTGAAATCACTATCTTTTGCAGGCACTTGATATTAAACTAAATAATTATTAAACAATGTGTTTTCGAAAAAATAAAATAAAGCTTTTAAATTGATGAGAAAGGCATTATGCTAATAAATATTTTTCAACAACTAATGCTAACCATAATATAAAAAATACAAAGCTTTCCTGTTGAACCATACATTCTACAGTACAGAAGAATATATACATAAAAAAACAACATGAATCTACATTATTATAAACTAGTACTAATAATTTTGTATATTCTGTTTCATATTTTGAAACTCCCCAAAACGATTTTTGGATATTGAAGGCAGACCCAACCAAAGCATCAATGAAGACAATATTTTTTTAAAATTTTTTTTCTTTCTTTCTTTTATATCATTATTGTTTTAAAATTTCTTCTTACACTACCATTTATAAAATTAATTATTATAGTATTATATTTAATTTTTAGAAAAACCTGTATTGTATGATTATGTATTCTTGGCTATCTGGAATGAGTCGCGTCTCAGTTAATTGGACTGACGTTTCGGCCACCTTGTTGTGGCCTTCTTCAGATCTATACTGCAGTATAGAAACGTCAGTCCAATTAACTGAGATGCGGCACATCCCGAATAGCCAAGAATACATTGACTCCGGCCGCGGAAGCCGACAAACCCATTGTATGATTATGTTCATATTCTGACTTGTTATACATGGTTTACGCTGTATTTATGTGACAAATTATTATTATTATTATTATTATTATTATTATTATTATTATTATTATTATTATTATTATTATTGCTGAGTAATAAACCACTATTGCCTATACTGTAATAGAAATTCATCCAGTGCTAAAACATTCCATTTTGTAATTACATTATTATTTTAACAGAAACACACACAAATCATTTAGATACTTTTTTGGCACTATAATATTTGATTAAACAATAATTTCAAATCACTAAAAATGTGGATTAGACAATTTTTGTGGCGTTAGCTTCATATATGACACTGGTGTTATAAGTAAGATAAATTGCAAATATGAGTAAATGACAAGCAATTTCTATTCAGACTACTTATTATAAATGGTAAAATATCTGTTACTAATATTTCTTCCTAAGGCATAATATTGATATTTTCTTTCAAATGAGCCAACTATAGTCTACATGGGTTAAATCAAAATGATTCAAAGTTTAGGTTGTTGAGGGTCCTTGTGTATTCTTCAGAGCATTTTTACAATTGCAATTTTCCCTATTGTTTTCCAGGTTGATATTGATATCAAAACTTTTATTCATTCATAATACTAGCTAGGAGATGATCTCTCACAAGTTTTTGATAAAACAGATCTCGTTTAAGAATATAATTACCAAATTGCAATGAAGTGTCAAAGAAGAAGAAGCTTTTGTAGAAAATCACAAATGATGAATACCTTCCTATTCAAAAGGGTGTTGGTTAATTTCTTCAGCATAGAGGAAGGAGGATGTTTTTTTGTAGAGAATATAGTGCCAGAATGGCCTATTGAAATTATAATATTTATCAACCACAGATACATATATGGACAGTTTGTTTCAACCGTAAGCATTTTCATTGCTTCTCAGAATTAACAGACTTGCAGGTCTAAAACAATATTTTAATATTGGGATATATCTTCACATGTAAGTCTGTAAGCAAGGATAAGGTAGGAGAAAGACATTAAGAAGTAAATGCTCTCATGAGCAAAAATAGAAGATTTGGTTTCACCAAATTTTCCACGCTTGGAGAACTTGGTATGTCATAGGGAATTTGTCCCACGTTATTAAGAAGAATACGACTTGCCCCCCCTTTAAGCAGAATTCGTGCAGATTCCAGTTGATTGTTCTGGGCTGCTATGTGCAATGGGGTGTTACCTGAAAAAAATGTAGATATTTGTTATAACTTATTTAAGGGGGATCATGTGTTTCATGCAGTCCACGTATTAATAATATAAGACACATTTATCAGTTTGATATTGGTATAAAAACAGTGCATGGCAAACAATACACAAACAAAAACTGTACACTGTTTTACTAGGTAATTATTAAATTAAATAATAAAAATAATAGTAATCATTATCATCATCATCATCATCATAATAATAATAATGAGGGAATTGGAAGTATTACAGAAGAGTGAGACTTGTCCGCTTTGAACTCCAGGAATAAAATATCTACAATAGGTAGTTTGGCAGTGCCTGGAGCTGAAAACAGTTTTGGACTAATGGACTGTATTGAGCGAGAAATTCGAAACATGGATCGAAAAACCAGAAAACTGCTTACAATGCTGCATGTTGCCCACCCCTGAGCATGATGTACATAAACTTCATGTCACGTAAGGAAGGAGAAAGAAGACTCAGACAAACTGAAGCCTTGACACCATGCAAAAGTCAGGGTGGAGAAGTGAAGTATGAAAACAGACTCATTCATAAGACTGCAAAATGCAACACATGGCGTTATTGAGAACAGTGCACATTTTGCGCAAAGTATTGAAGAGGTACTGACTGTACCTAGTTCTGCTCCTTAGGAGGAGATTTATGATCAATCGACTCATTGTTACGAGTCTGTCAGTTGTGTCTTTGTCACTATCTTTAGTTGTGAACTAGAGGAATAATAATGATAACGATAACAATAAAATACCAATGCCATGTTGTATTTTCTGGTACATTACTATTTGTATAAGATTAGATATTATACTGTATAATGAAAATTTAAAACAATATTTTGCATCTAATAAGGTGATGCAGTTGCTAATTTTTATATGGCATATTACCAAAAGATAATATATAACAACTATTGTGAAATTGTTAGCCATTAGCTGAATTACTTAAATGCTCTCCATGAAGTCACGGAAGGTAGGCAATTCAAGACACCATGGATTCTGACAGACAGCCTGTGTTACAAAGCAATGCTCAGCAACAATCAAGCCCAGGTGGAACTCAGTTTGAATGGAAATTGAGTTAAAATTAAGTGCAATCTTGTGCTGCAGCACCCCATTTATTAGTTATAAAATTAACAGCACATAAACCTTGTGTGTGAAAAAACACATAAGTGTGCCATCTTTCATGAAGATGGGGCACAAGGTTCAATTGCACAGCTGCTGGTTTCCGGCGGAATGTATTAGAAATCTGTTTCTTAGCAACAGGTGAAAAATACCGATCATGGTGCATCTAAAAGCATATTCTTTAAATTATTTTCTGCATTTGTGTTGTATTAATCTTTAGCAAACTTTACAAGTATACTGTGTCAAATCCTGAAGAAGAACCTGTAAATATTTCATATCTACTCATACACTCCTTTTTGTGGAATCAATGTCGATTACATGTCGTTGAATTCACTTTTATTAGTATAGATATTATTTTGCTGGAGAATGTTTATCACCTAAGAAGAGACATATTTAAAAGGGCAAAGACAAAGCTATTTACTCTAGTACATCTCATTGGTGAACTAGTTTTTGAAATTTGTACTAGTAATACTCCTCTTCTTATTCTTTTCTAATTATATTTCTTCACTTAACTAAAAATTACTATTTCTAATGCCATAGGTCACTTTTCTTGTTCACCAATGATATATATTGTGCTGCTGCAGATACACATTCATGGCACCTGAAAGTTAATAATTTTATTTCTTCAGAGCTTTTGTCAAAGCTTTATCAAGAACCTGTGTTCAAAGAGGAACAACCAGAAACACTCTTTCCATCAGGATCTGTCATAACTATGTTTGTAGGAATGTGGCTCAATGTAGCACTTTATTAGTGATCACATGTTAAAGGTATCAAGCAGGTATTTCCTGCAAGAATGGCTGCATGTGAAGTAATCCATAGCAATCTGACATATTGGTATACACTTCATTACTCTGGCTGAGATGATCATTGAGCTCCAAAATTATGATTTTGAGCAGACCATTTCGGTAACATTGCATTTTCTCTGGCAACCTCTTTCAACAATCTCCCAGGGCCAGAAAGATGATTTGTTGCATAAAATATTTGGAAACTCAAATGATGTAAAGCAGATTTGAGAACATACAAAAAAGTAAAAAGCAGTTTTACAAGGTGAATTGCAAAATATTTCACTGCAAAATAAATTGCAGCTTTTCATATTTATTCTCTACATGCATATGAAATTAAAAGAACAGGTTTTTCTCATACTCATATGCATGATTTTACAGTTTTTAAAGTATATAAATCTGTACCCTAGTTATAAGTATTGAAGATTACGAGCATTCTTTTAAGGGTGTTCCAAATACATTAGGGAACCATTAATACAGAGTCTTATTAAGGTTAAATTCTGGGCTCTCTGGGAGACGCCGCGTGGTTGGCTGAGAGGCCGACGTTTCGCCTAACATGTCGCAGGCTTCCTTAGGGCAGTGAGTAACTGTCACTTCCCTGAGGAAGCCTGCAACATGTCAGGTGAAACATCGACCTCTCAGCCAACGACGCAGCGTCTCCCAGATAGCCCAGAATTTATGGATTCGAGCCGCGGAAGCTTATGTGTGCCTCTCATTAAGGTTGTCCTAGTAATACAACTACAACATGACAAATCCCTTTATCCATCATACCTGCTTTGCATCTTGCATGAACATATGCTTTGTACTTTATTAGTACTGCTATACATTGGACTTTGCCGGACGCTGAAGCGTGATGTATTGGGGCCAATCCTGCATGATCCCTGAGATTGGGTGAGGCACCACTCTCCAGTAATTTCAGCAACTTATTTATCTGACCATTATGAGCTGCTGTGCACATCATAGCTGCTCCATTATCTTCAAGAGCTTCCAGAAGAACTTTAGTGACTCTGGGATGATTGCTCGCTGCTATTGCCCTCTGTATCTGTGAAAACATGATTCTATCATTAATTTTCTCCACTAATTTTGTGTCCAACAACTTTCAAATAAATAGTTATTTGTTGTAAAGTTACCTATTTCATTATGTAATACTGAAATTATTAGAGCCATTACCTAATGGCTGACAAGGACATGCCCATTTGTAATACACCCACTAACTATTGATCATGCCCAGCAAACATGTGTAGGAAAATAAGTAAGAGTACTGTAAATTCGTACATATTGGCTAAAGATGTCAACTTCTAAACATTAATAAATAAACCACCCTACAATCCATCCATCTTCTGTTATAAAGTCAAGTTACAATTATATTATGATCATAATATAATAATAATAATAATAATAATAATAATAATAATAATAATAATAATAATAATTTATATAATTCTTTATGATAACATATAACATTGATAGGCATTCATTTTGGTAGTAAATTAATCCAACTGAATTATATATTTAAAAAGTTTCCATAATTTAAAACATTCTTTAGCTCCTCGGAATTTAAAATATTGAGGTGCCACCCCTCGATGGCACCCCTCCCCCTCCATTTACATGTTAGCACATACCCATCCACTATCCCCCCCCCCACTTGTGAAATGCTGACCCAAGCAAGCGCAAAAGTAAACAGGTCCAAAAGTGATTTAAATATTTGATTTGAGGAAAGTACCTGTAAGAAACTAAGTTGGTAAATGCAACACTTTGAAACATACCTCAGATTTATCATATTTTATAAGCAAATAAACAGATCTTGGAATTCCAGCTTCAACGGCTTCAATTAAAGGTGTATTCCGCTTTGCATTTCTTGTGTAAGCCAGCGATGGGTAATATTTCAACAATTCATTCATGACATTTTCACTACCATGGCAGGCAGCTAGGTGCAATGGTGTATCTCCATTTCTATTAGGTCTAAATGGATCATGACCCTTGGCAAATCAAATACAAAACATACAAGATACAATTTATTTTATTATTAATTACATTAGTTCAATTTTTGCAGAACATACTCCTCAACAAACATTTTCTCTTAAATTCACACATACAAAATTAATTTCATTAGATGGTTCTGAGTTATTTTCCAACACTTGAAATAAAAACATAAGTAGATACATTTTTAGTCTCTCTTTGTAATAGAACTAACGAGAAAATGATTTTTCGATAACAATATTACATCCACTTCTGCTGTTGGATTAAAAGGGCAACAGTTTATTACATAAAAAAAAGAAAGTTCATATTGCTTATGATGTTAGGGGAGGAGATTTCTTTTATGTTTTGGGCCACTAATGGCCCAAACATAAAAGAAATCTAATTTGAAACTAATCATGAGAGTAAAATAGAAAAACAAAATCTTTATTATTATGGAAATTTAAAAAACATTATTGGTGAAACTCTATATAAATTGAGCTGTTTCTAGCTCTCTTAAACTTGGAAATTTTTTAGAAACTTCAGAAGAGATTATTTGAAACAACTGCATGAAGTCATAAAACACATTCATAATGTAAATATTAACAAAATTAGAAATATTTTTAAAAATTGCAATTTTTGAAAATTCCGAATATTTAATCAAAATGTAGAATCTTGGGGCAAGAAAATTCCATAAATATATATATTACTTGAAATTTTTTTTAGTTTTTAAGAAATTTAATTACCTTTAATTTTTTAAAATGAAATCACATATTTTTCTCACTAGCAGGATAATGATAAAAGGCGAGTAAAATGATTAAAACGTGTTAATATTTCGATCGTAAATTGAGTACAAAATTATACTTTTTGACATGTGATTTTAAATGAAATGGACAAAACTATTTCCTGAAGAAGCCCTCTGAACTCTTGCCTTTGGAGTAGATAGCCTTCCCTACGCCAAGACTGATGCGGGGAGAGGAGTGGCAATAGGGATAGAAGCATAACTACAACAGTCTGTGGTCTTGTTGCAAGGGACACTGGAACAATGTAAATATTACCGATCAGAATAAAAGATTTTTCCATTGATTCACAAAAATTGAACTTTTCTTTTACTTGTTGAAATCTAAGCATCGATTTTTAGTGCTCCAAAGCTCTGCAGCCAGTTTGTTGGTCCTTGCACTTATGACTGGTATTGTGAATTGCTGATGATGGCAGATACAGAGCTTAGTAAATAATGAACATATTTGTATTCTGCAAAATTCTGTATATGCTTCATATTTCTGTTTTCAAATTATTTTATTTTAGTAAATTTATGAGAAGTTGAGTAACAGCAAATTATAACAAAAGTTCTACCTATTTGCAATCTGATTAATTATCTAGATTCATTATAGTGAAAATCTTCAGTCATTCAGACTCTTTCTAAAATGCGGGCATGTTCTCACAGCCATTAGACATTGAGCTTGATTTTTCATTAGTTTGAAAATGACTTTTGTTAGTATCTTGCTTGTACTACCAATTTCTTTGTATCATTCATTTCAATGACCGATGCTTTGGAATTTCCATCAGTGAAAGAAATGATCAATCCTGATGAATCAATGGATAAATCTTACACTCTGATTGTTAATATTGGTGTTTGTTTCTGTGTCCTTCAAGTCAAGACCTCGAATTGCTATAATTGTGCCTGTACCCTGTATAATAGACAGCGTTGCTAGCCGAATTCCTAAATTTGCCTCTGTGAAGTCATGAAGGTTAAGCGAATTAGAGACTTTACGAAATCCTAGTTGAGTGACCCGGGATACAATGTTATCAAGTCCCTTGCTGAAGGAATAAATGACTAACTGTGACATTAGTAGAATTGGTAAAGCAAATTCCGTGTTTCTGAAGTTGTTTGCTATGAGTTACAGTTGTGTCTCAATATGGGGTACAAAGTTGAGAATATTCAACAAATATATTAAGGCGGTCTTATTGTATGGAAACTTGGCGATGGAATAACACCATACAAACCAAATCCAAACTTTCATAAACAGATGTCACCAAAAATTATTTAAAGTCTTCCGACCCATGAAAATGAGAAACGAAGAATGCCGGAGATGTATCAACCTCAAATCTGAGCACCAGGTCTGGAAAAAACAAGATTTTAATATCGGTGTTGAGGTGAGTTATCGTTGGCATTTCTAATAAAATAATTACATGTCGTCATTGCCAACAATATTATTTATTAAAAAAGCAGCTTTCGATGGCTTAGCCATCATTATCAGTTTTCTGCTGTATGGAAGCCACAAAAACGACTACCCACCGTCGTTTTTGTGGTTTCCATACAGCAGAAAACTGATGATGATGGCCAATTGAAAGCTGGTTTTTTAAGATTTTAATGCTTTGATGATTCTCGGCAACACATGGGAGACTTCACACATGAACAGTTACTTATACAGTTTCTATGTTACAGATAGGTTTATACAAAAAAGTTTAAAAACACATCATTCAGCACTATCACAAAGCTAACATGCTGGCTACTTCAACAAAGATCAAAATTGATTCCAAATTACATGAAAAACTACCTCTACTATGGAATAATGATGCCTGAACTAATTTAAAATTCTAATGTGGAAGAATAGATTTTCTTCCCTAATTAAAAAGCAAAAAAAGAATTTCTAACTTCAATAATAAAGGGTAGGAGAGGTTGGAAAAAAAACTTTTGCAATTGTTTGAAATTTTGAGGTCTTAAAGAATGCCAGACGCTTCTGTTTTACTTACAATTTGTTACCAAGACATTTAAAAAAATAATTCATGCCATTTTTATGATTTGAAACTGTATGCTACTCATAAAGAAACCCATAAAATTAAAATATTAGTTTCTAGTTGAGATTAATATGACAATATTCATTATCCTGAAAATAATGTGAATAGATAAGGCACTAGTGTTGAACATCGGTGGAAGGATAGACAGCTCTTTTGGAAATTAGTGGTGCTGTTACATATCACAGACTTCCTGGTGGTTTTTTTTATAGTTGTGTAAAATGATTATAGATAATTATATTGCAAACGTACTTCTAATATTTCAGCTATGTGCTCTTCATCAAACTGCCTGGAACGCAGCACACCACATCTGTGTCTTAGCATTTTCTAAAATCCAATTTATAAGTAAAATGAACTTTTTGTTGCATGTATTGAGAAAATCAGATTTAGATACATAAAAGACACAAAGATTGAACACATGTTAAGGGAGAAATTAAAGCCATTCTCCTCTTTCTGGGATATTACTCCCAGATCCATTTTACATGGTATTTGTTGTCATAATCTATGTTACTAATTTCCAATGTGTGCAGATATTGAAAGATAACTAAAGAGCTTCCTTTTGAGAGGGATCTATGGTTTTGTTAGTTACTCAGGAACCCTGGACAAATCCAAAAACAATGAAACTGTTGAATTTTTACCAAAAAATGCAAATATGTGATTGTTATTCTGCCTATTTTCATACTGTGTATATCGACCGAATTTTCATACTGCTAATGACATGGCTGACACGCGACATCAAGGCTCCAAGGAAGAGGCCACACGCCATTATAAATTTTCTATTCATGTTTGCGTTATGAATAGCAACTTTTTTGATATTTCTGGCATGTAAAGAACTTTTGAACTGGGTATCTGTGAATATTAAACAATGTTATTGCAGTATTCATGAAAAGGTTTTTTATTAAAATCTTCAATTTTTTTGTAGTGTTATATGAACATTTTATTTATTATTTTTGTGTAGTGTGCCAGCTACTTTTTGGATAACCATTCTGTGTGCTCATGATTAGCATCATTTGTGCTGCTGCAGGCCACTATTACTTTTTTATGTGAACTGTAAAAATATACAAAAATTTGTATTGGTACAGCTCATTTTGTTTCTTTGCATTTCTGAGCTTCTCTACATGCACCAACTCACAATCAAACTCAAAGTGTTAGAAGGCTCCGCATTCCATTGAATTTAGTGGGAGACCACGATGGAAAGATATACATCTTTCCACAATGCAGACGACTTATATCACATAGTAATCGATCATTCAGTCATGTTATATGCATGATGTGGAATTCCATGATTACATGGGATTTGTTCCTGACTGTAGCGGCAGAGTGAGCTGCATCCAGTTGCTACATGGTGCTACATCCTGTTGTTCTGCACTGTTCCACACTCTTTTTGTGTTTGTTAATTGAGTTGACTGGATTTTAATTAATGCTACTGCTAACCACAGTTTTCAACTGCCCAAAATCATTGTCAGTTGTACTTCATTGGATATGTAGTAAAGGCTTCACAAGAAATGGGGAACGTATCAGTGAAAGTTTGTAAAGTGTGTTGTGAATTTATTGGTTAAGGTGGTGAGAGAATTACGTCTGGGAAAGAAGAAATTCTATAAAAATGAAATAAAAGAAAAGAACTGCATCATCTCTAATGGGTGGGAAAAATATACAAATCGGTATTCATGGGAAGGAATTATGTTAGTAGATAATTGCATTGTATGTCTTCACTTACAAATTTACCAAAAGTTCGGATTACTTCACTTTAAGGACCCATGAATTGTGAAGCACCGCTCATTTATTTTTAAATCTGAATACTGAACTGGGCATCTGTAATTTAACTTCCATATGGATATTCTAAATTTTGGTTTCTTAATCCTAGAACACTATTATATTGTAATTTTGAAGGCTACCATAAGTGCAATGGGGTCAATGGGATTTTGAATCCTGTATTCAATGAAAGTGGGTCTTGTCATACTACATCATGCCAATTTTAAATTTTGTAGTTTGTCAGTATATGTCAAAATGTAGATTATGTCAATCAATTTGTCACATTCATTTGAAGAAAATATTATATAATTCTAAAGAATTACTAAAATATTTAACACCTACGTTAACAAAATGAATTAGGAAAGAAAAATATTTGTATTTCTCCTTTCCTTCTGCTCTTATTCCTTATGTTGTAAAATTATATTTCATATTTAAATCCACATATGAACTTGTATTTCCCTATTAAATCTTTTTCATAGGAATATTAGTATTAATATGTAATATGCGAGATGTGTGCACAAATTTTAATGAAGTCCACTCTGATACAGTGAACCCTCGGTTATAGTGAACTTAAATCACTGATCCCGTTTCACTTACATTACAGACATGCATAAGATTCGGTTATAGTGAACCTCAACCTCGGCTATAGGGAACGACGGAAATGTGTCCTGGAAATTAATTCCTGGAAAAGAATACATCACCTTAGTGCCACAAATTTCAACACTAGGCCGGTTGAAAAAATTATGGTTGGCCAAAGATCATTATCGAAGAAGTCACCCCTGAGGTCAAGGTAGCGGACTGGGACTTTACTGATGACTTTAAACCTCTCAGTTTCACTGAGGAAACAAAAAAGGCCGGGTCCTGCGTGCACTACAACTGACGGCGGCGACGCGCGATTGCTTGTTTCAGTTTCAAGCTTGGTGTTTCTTGACATTCCGCTGGACAATGCGCGTTGAGTTCTACGTAGGCGGCAGGAAGCACGCGACTGCCTCAGCCTGGCAATATCCCCCGCGCCGCGCGGAAAAGCGATCAGTTTCATTAGCCGCTTCCGTCATCCTGCTACCGAAAGCATCTCGTATGTTATTAGGCGAGTAAAAGGGGCTTCGGAGAGTGGGACGGTGTTCCTACAGAACGAGAGGCATGGAAGGGTATGAAGACTGAATTATCGTACTTATTGTTGGACACAGAGGACAATGCAGAATAAAGTATGGAGAGAGCACGAACTCATGAGAAGGATCAAGAGAAATTACTAATGAAAAAGTACGAAGCAAGCAATTGATAATTTGATTTTTTGATTTTCATTTGAAATTAATGTCAATTAATTGATTTTTAAGGACAAATAAAGATATTGAAATTCAGTTCATGCTTGGTTTTGCTGTGCCTCTATATTAATCAAATCAATCGTTAAGGAGAAATTCTATTTAATTTTGACATCATCAGACGTAGTGAACCGAACATGTTAGTCACCAGAAGTTACATTATAACCGGAGTCGACTGAACTAATTAAAATTATTTATTATCAAATGTTATATACACAAATGGTGAAAATTTACAAAAGTCCCAAATTAAGTTATTGTACAAAAAAATTGTGTCCACTTCTTGGTCAATTCGTGGATCTGTGCCTGCATAAAGCATTAGTAATTCTATAGAAAAAAATAAAATAAAATTCTTATTTTACCCTTTTTTATCCCTTATTTGAAGTTGCCCTTACGGCGGCTAAATTGGACTTTATTGATATTATTTCGTAAATTGAGTCATGTATTTTCTGTTAAAGAAATTTTAATATTAAAACCATTTGAAGTTCACAAGTGTCCTATAAATATATATACTTGTTAAAAACTTTAAGGGAATTGATGAAAATGTACTTTCAATATCAGTAATTCTATGAAATAAAAGAACTGATTCTATCTTTTACATATTTATTTTTAAAAATCTCATTTTAACAAAGTGCTAAGAAAAGAAAGGTGTAAAAGAGACACTAGGTTCAGTTACAGAACAACTCACTACGACACTGGAAATTATGATTTCAATTCAAATGTTCCATTCTATGGTCATATAAAATCAATACAATTCTAAGCCCCCATCGTATTGTCATATATACCCATCATACAAATGATATATAAATATAAAACTGTTATTTTACCAATAAGAAATATTATGCAGTAATTAAAAAAAGATGGTTTTTAACGTGCAAAACATCGTCTTATGAATATTTCATATTTTTCAGAACATGCTATGCAAAAACAGAGAAACGTCATAATTTATATAGTTGAATAAAGAAGCAAATTATCTGGGTTCATTGAACAAAATTGAATCTAATTTATTTCCTCTTTCCCTCAGTTCTACGGCTAATTTCAGTATTTAAAAAGTAAATAAATATCGAATTGGGTTATTGGGAATTTAACGTTAGTGGCTAGTTTATTTAACAATATGATAATTATATAATTGAGTATACACATCAGTGCTTCGTGAGCAATTACAGTCAATTATTAATCTTTCAACCATGGTGTTATTTCCGCCATGCTTTCAACTGAATGTTGTTTTGTGGCAAGCAGCACTCTCTGTGGCCACAATTAGAAAATTCTTCCATTCCGACCTAAACGTTCAAAACCTTTCTCGATTTCACCATGACAATCGACACTGCTGTTGCTGTCGATTACTTAAACGCTTCGAGGTGCGCGCCTTAGCGGACAGCAATCGACTGCAATATCGATCTTCTGCGCAAGTAGGAAGTGGTGCACATTCGAACACGATTGTGAAAGCACCATCAATCTTCTCCGCGTGCGCAGATTCTAGGAGTTTGTGCACGCCGTAGCGGACAGCATTTTCAATCTTCTGCGCATTCACTGATGCACCAACTGAACTGCGCATGCGCGGATGCACCAACTGAACTGCGCATGTGCAGAAGGTTGTTAAGAGTTTTAACGTACGAGGGTGCACAAACTTCCCATTATAACGTCGATGTTTTCTTCAGATTGATATTTCTCCAGAAACAATGTTTTCAAAAAAATCTCATGATATAAATAAAATTTCCAGTATCTATTTTATTTGTCGATTGCTTCCAATTAACTGCCATTGTTGTCAATCTCAGGCGGCACGAAGCCGTGTGCTTTTCGTAGCCTTTCTCTAATGTGACCTTTTTTAATTATTGATTATGTGGTAATATCATAGACTAAGGAAGTGTATATCATTACTCTATGGTAATATCGTTAAACTGCAATTTGAACCATGACTGCAAAGAATATTGATTATAAAACTGAGATGATAGTCAAAATGAACACACAAAATACTTTAAAATAATATTGACGAGTTATGTATCACATTAAAACCAGGACATTTTACTTCGAAATGTGTCATCATATTTCGAGCCGATATGTTAAACATTGATTTTTTTGTCGATCAACATCGGAAACAGTTTGGTGATGTATCGACCTTTTTTCTAAAATTTGTCATCACTTGTCACGTCGCAATCAGTACCTTTTATGCCTTTGGGTTGGGACTCGGCTCCCTAAATTGGAACAGACGAGTATTCGTGAAATGAAAGTAATCATACGATGCCATATTGTACATCCAGAATAGTGAGTACCTGGTTTAGAAGTTCTTTAAGAGCCAATACGTGATCTCGTCGTGCTGCGTCATAAAGTGTTTGGGGCCGATTGACTCGTTCCACAGCTGCTGCTATTCCAATAGCAGCTGCTGCAGCACCTATTGCAAACATCTGAGCCTGAAAACATGTTAGTTAAATTAAGGTCTGAATTTTTAGATATACTCGTACAGCATTTAAGAATGGGAAAAAAACACATACACACAAAAAAGAAACACGTGTGATAACATGAATTTAAAATAATAAGTAATAAAAAAGCAAGCTCCTTCAAAGCAAAAATCCAGACATCACAATCAAGGTTATATAAGAAAGAGCTCGGAACAAGAAAGAGGTGTGAAAGAACAGAAGGAAAGGAAAATCCATAGAAAGAAACTTCTAATAGATGGTATTGGAGGCAGAAGAAGAATGAAAATAAATGTAAACAGATGGAAAATGAAACAGAAATGATAAGAATTAGAATGAATGCTTGGGTACGATGTTAAAATGAGTGAGTGCGGATTGACACACGCACGCATGAGCGAGCGCATACATGCACCCTTATGTACGCAAACCAAGATGTATTAAAATCTTCTATTAGGTAAATCCCAAATAAAAAGATGACTACAAAATATATTGAGGAAACCAGAAGCGATGATGAAGAAGTTGAGATCAACTTAGAAAAGATCTGGGATAGAGATATGGTGTTTCAAAAGAAGATCGATGAAATCAAAATGATGATCAATGATTCCAAGAAAAACAAGCGTAAGTGACGTGGACAAAAGAAAGGAGGAAAGGAACCCAGCAAAAGAATGTAGAAGCCTGAGAAAAGAACAATAATAGGAGGGAAACATTTATTTTGAATGAATAATATGCATTCACTTGTGGTTTTTTGGCACTCAAAAATGCCTATTGATGAGTTAAAAAAAACGATGTATTTTCAAATATATTGCAACTTTTTTAAACTTACAACTTTTTGAGAAAATTAAAAAAAAATGAAGCCGAAAAATACTGTTTATGGAATTAAAAGTAAAGTTTGCCTCTTGTCCTATGTGGGATAAACTAAAAAGAAATTAAAATTACATATTAAAGAACATGCAAAAAATATCTTGAAACTTTCACATAGACAAAATTCGTTGACAAAACACAGACTTAATTGCAACAGCAATACTGATTGTATTGAACAATCATTAAAATTTAGACAAAGAACATAGAAAATACTCTCATTTTCACCCACTCTCATGTAGTACACTAATGCCTCAATTTAATTATAATTACATTTCTATAGTCAGCAAAAGAAATTATTTCTAAATTCTCCATTATTTAGCCACAGCATTTTAAAAAAATACAATACTATATTGTATTATGTAACATACGCACGCGAACACAAACACACACATACACTCGTATATACTATATATATATATATATATATATATATATATATATACATATATATATACATATATATATATATATACACACACACGGTAGTTCATGTGAATATATTAACACGTAATTGTAAATCTAACGACGTAACGTAGATACAGGCCTAGACGACAATACGGTTCTTTACGTCTTCACAAATAATATTTTGGTTGTTTTCCTTCCCTGTTTGAAATTAATGCATACTACCACGTATTAAATTCTAACATGTTCTCTGATTTCAATTTAATTAATAATTTATCAAATTAACACATTGAAGAATAAATGAAAATGTACTGACACGTAAGCATCTTTGAAAAGAACGCGAAGAATATAATAATAACAATAATATAATATTTGTACGATTCCTTTCCAATGAAACTCACCATGGTAGATGAGCAGGCAAGCGGATGGAGCACAGAGGAGCACAGCTTCGAGTAGATAACATCCAAGTTCTCTGCGTACACTGCCCTGGCGGACGTGGAGTTGACGTATACCTCACCTCTCACCCGAAGGTGCACAACGAACTTCATACAGAACACGGCATTACAATACCTCACCACACATGTACATTAAATCACATGAAAGTAAAATTATAATGCAAGGAAAAATCAATAAAGAATACAAAAATTCATACTTTGTTTAAAAAATTATATTGTTTTCATGTAGTACGTTGTCGTTGACATTTAATAGCTGAAACGCTAATGTTGGTACGACTCTCAAGCAGCTGTGAAGGAGCGTCGGTTGTCTTCGGGGTTTCCCCAAGAGGTGTAAACTGACCACGGTGTAGGAAATATCTTACCCCGTGAATATGACAATAAAAATAGTGGGCAGACAATGGCAAACAGCTGTTACCAAATGTTCACCTTCATTTCGAGAACTTGGCGAATAAAATAGTGCCGTATGAATCAGAAGGCGTATATTAAAGGGAGGCCAGGCCGTAACTAGTGAATTAATCCTCCTGAATTCCACAGCGTAGCCGTACACTCATTTCGCCCGCAAAATTATTCTTATTAATTAAAAAAATATTATGCTAATTATTAATTATTCTTTAAATAATAGTATTTAAAGAAATAGTTTTGCTTGAGGATGCAAAGGGCATGTTATGTGTACGTGCATACTTTTAAAGAACATGCTCTTAACAAATATCCACCTTCGTTCTGGAAAGTTGTTACGAAATTGAATTGCAATTTGAAAGAATGAAATGTAAGTTATTGGTCTGAAACACACACACACACACACACACCCACACACACACACACACACGAATCCTTCAGTTTTGATTTATTGTTCTTAATTAAATGTAATATTTTATTTTTTATTTATTTACTTCAATAAACAGGATGAATCAGTGAGTAAAAAAGTTTAAGACAACTATAAAAATTTTGAAAGTCATGATTGAAAAAATTCAATCTTTAGCATAGTTATTGGCAGCTCTAGATATTGTCTATTCGCACGTTCGCATGTGCACACCAAAATTAATTAGGTGCAGTTTTTCTTAAACATCTCTAAACAAGAGGGAAATATTAGTTCTCTCAGAGGGTTTCTGAAACATGGAATTTCAAAAAACGCTGTTGGGAAGCAGCGATTGACAGCCCGCCGCCAGTGCCCTTCGAGGAAGCCAGCCGGCGCACACTCGGGAATTGCGAACGAGTCGAGTGCGTTGCGTATGTGCGGGGCTGGAGGGGAAAGAGGGAACAATTGTCGTATGTTCGGCAGGTGCATTTGCATATGTGTGGCGATGTCAGTGAATGCCTTGACATTTCACGAAGAGATAGCACTCAGCTAGCACAAGTTTGTAGGAGAAACACCTGTGACATTGGACGAAGGAAGTGTGAAATATCTCTCCACTGGAAAGAGCTCTCATCCCTTCCAATAAAAGTTCTTCGCTGGCGCGCGGAACGCGAACGCATTGCTGTGCAGTATTGCATTCATAAGAATTGTGTTAATTTCACATTATACGCACATTCTCTTATATTTTGAAGTGAGTTGCAATTACAAATCCATTTCGAATTAATGAAAACCCAAATGCGTTTTGTAAACGTTTGTAGTCGGCTATTTTTTTTAATGAATTTTGAGAAATCGAATTTAAAGTGTATGTTTTCTTGTCAAGCGTGAAGAAAAATTTGCTGAAAAGAAACAGTGTTGAACTGACTTCATGTTTCGTCCCACAGTGCAGACGGCAAATTATCTAGATTGTTTTGAGTTTTCGGTAATTTGTACTTTTAGCGTAAAAGTAGTACGTCGAGCTTATGGAAAATGCTCTATAGCAAAAGTGCGAGTAAACAAGTTTTGAATCAACGTGTACAATAGAACTCTGGCTATAGAATAGAACTCTCGATAATCTGGCTCTAGTAATAAATATTTTGAAGGGGTCCTTGCCAGCGAAGTGCAAGCAGGTGTTGTGAAAAGAAATGCGGGCAACTCTCACTGCTACCGTTCAGCATACTATCAGACTTCTTACGATGCTCCGTGTTTAATTGTCATTATTTATGTTAATGAATATACATATCTATGCATGCAATGTATGCTTTTCTATATGGGTGTGTATGAAAATGTGTGTGTTTGAAAGACTGAAGGGGAGAGGAAGAGAGAGAGAGAGAAAAGGGACATTGCACATCCTAATGGCATGGCCACGAGCCGCCACTGAGTAATATATATATATATATATATATATATATATATATATATATATAT